CATGGTCCTTGAAATCGTTGAATAATAGGACACTGGTATCGAGGATTCACAGACATGTTTGCACAGTGAGAGCAAGCCTCTCTGTCGAGTGTACACTTCAAGCATATGGGCCTATCTTGACTGTCTTTATTATCTTCCAGGGAGTCAGTGACATACTTTAATTGAGTACCTAACGTCTGGAAAGATCAAAAACGCTTACTGGAGAAATAACTTATATTCTATGGCACTTGATGGACGGTATCAAGAAACATCAAATTTCATTTGGATTTTGTATCTTGTGCCTTAGAAAGACATTAAAAATGCAATTCTAACCCCACAAAAAAGAGACGTGGCTAAAGTGACTTTCTTCTGCTAATAGTTTACTCGAACAATATTCGCAAGTCTCAGACCACAAAGCCTAATCAGGAAAAGTATTGTCTGACCGAAATGTTGGCAGCAAAATTAATTGGAGACGGGCATTAAATACTTGGTACTTAATTACCAGGTAAATTTAGCTATTCATTGAATGAAGATACCGCATTATTTCAATAAATTACTCAGAAATTTAAATTTAACATCATAGCCACAACCGGTTTAAAACTTCTTCAAAATACACTACCTACATTAATAAATACTGTGGGCACTTTTCAAAAAGGAAATTGATTATCTAAGATGCTTAGATCAAGCTTTGTAATAACATCAAGATTCAGCAGACATTCTTCAGCTTTTAATATGACGCTACGGCGATGAAACTCAGAGCAAATTTTTAGTGTTATAAATAATACTTCAAGTTTTTGATTTTTGGCTCATAATTACGTAGGTAAGTGTGTGAAAGTTCATGGTTCGTGATAACAAGCACTACAAATGGCACAACAATTTATTGTCGATGCTACGATAACATCGTCAGAGCCTAGTTCTATATCAGCAGTAATCTGTAAGACCAGGGAAATTAGGAATCACAACTTCCGGTCATTTCTCCAAATTCGCACGGAGTAGCCTAAGAAACCATATAAGCAGTCCGGGGCTCCATGGTATTTGTTTGTGGCCCATGTACTGCAGGTGCTAAAATAGAATACTGGAAGCAAAACGAAGGTACTGTTGCGCTGTACGAATCTGGAGAAGTGACAGAAGATCGTTATTCTTGCCGGCGGCGGTATCAAACACTACCAACTAGCTAGCAAACCCATAACGGTTGGGTTTGTTATTATTATGAATCATAATAATGTCAAAATTTTCATCACTACACCTTAACATCGATGTCATATTCTTCTGCAAGTTCAACATAAAACTGTCATTCATTAACCTGTCCTCTGTTGACATTCACAGCGCCAAATCCGAGTCACCACTTTCAGATGCAGTTCTCACTTTTGATGCTGCTACATTTTTAGAATTCAGTTTTTCAAGAGCTGCTTAGTAAATTTACGCGTCGATTCAGTACTGTTCGCTCCTAAATTGTTACAGGGTTCATCGAAACCTTTGATAGCTGCCAGAGCGATTAAGAATACCACACAAACGAGTAGTGTAAAATGCATGATCTTAAACGTGAGCAGTTTAAACTGAACACAACATTCAAACAAACTCTCCCTGTTCATGTTGTAACATGGATAGGGTGGATGTGGCTGTTCAAGACTGCCGCGTTAGCTGTCATTCTGTACGCTAATAGGGAGGTTGCGGACGAATGTCCAACTGTGACCCTGAATTTACGTACCTATCAGCAAGTAAGTCAGTTATTTAATATCTTTGTTTGAGTCTGTTTCTTTCTGCTCTATGGCTGATTGAGGTTGGCCGGGACATATGT